AACTCACACAAATAAAAAACAAAACCATGAAAACACAATGGCTTTATTATAATTTTTCTCCAAACCCAAAATCCATGCTATGAATCCTTTTATTATTTTATGATTTTCAAATATCTTTATTTTGTACACGGCTGCTTTTTAACTTTAAGTTTCGAAGATTGGATTAAATTGCTAAGCATGATTGAACCTTACACAGACGTGAAAAAAAAAAAAAAGAAAAAAAAAAAAAAAAATACGCTAACATAGAATTTGACGATTTCGGCAAGCAGAGAGAAGAAGTAAAAAAAAAGAAAACATTTTTCGTCACGAGTGAAAAGAAATAAAGAATTTTCTCAGCAACGCTGCTCCGTCCGTTGTCGAAAAACGTCTCGGCCTACGTTTTTGGAATCGCACGCGTGCCCCGTCCAACAGACCTCGAGGTAAACGCCGCGGCTACCTCGAGCCAGCGCCTCGCTCGAGGCTCCGCGACGCAGAAAAAAAAAAAGATACTATTTAACTATTTTACGAGAAAAAAAAAAATCGCTAAATTACTGCTAGTTAAAACAAAAAGAAAAAAAATTCCTCGCTCGATTTTGGCCTAACGCGAGACAAAGAGATATTTCACACTTTCGGCACTACTGGCCTATAAAATATATATATACGTATAAACAAATATATATATATTAAAAAAAAAAATAATAATAAATAATGATGCCTGGGCGCTGGCATTTTCGTCGTTTGGTCTAAATTGATACATTTTGTGCCTGAACTATGTGTGCGCGCGAGTCTTTGGTTCGGGACGCGTCAGAGAACGAATTTCAATGAGTGGCTCGGGTGGCGGCGCGTTTGCGTAATGATCCGCACGCAGGAATTGCGGAACGAAACGCGAGCGATCATTTCGCGACCTGTTGGACGGGGGACGGGATGGAACGACAGTTCGGCTAAATGTTCCTACAAATCAAAATTTATTTATTGCGAAAACTATTGAAGATTGTGATGGACGTAAAAAAAATTTATATTCGTCAGCGGCACGGAGCACGTTGGGTGAGAAAATCGTTGTAACGATAATTATGGAATAAAATTAATAGTCGTTTGGATGTTGTCGTGGAAATTAATAGAGATGAAACGCGTTTCACGAATGAAAAATAAGAAATTGTAGTATATACCATTATTTATCCGCGAAAATCGCAATTTTGCACTTATTGGACGAAATGTTGTTGATTCAGATATACCTGGACGCCGCCCAAAAATTATCGACCATTCCAACAATACCCGAACCCTCTGATGTATCGGTTACAAAGCTTTCCTCTCAGACCACCTGAGTTGGAATTAATTAGAAACCAAAATAATCGAACAGTTCGCCGAGGAATCATTCGGTACGAAACAACTTGATCAGAACTTTAACAAACAAACAAAAAATAAATGTAACTAAACGACTCTTGGAGCATGAAAAACATCAAAAGCTCTCGCGCTTGTTGTGACAAAGTGCCGCTTGACGTGAAAAAATATCAACAGAGTCGTGACGCTCGATTCCCTTTTCCGACGCGTTCGCGAGACTAACGATTGAGGATATCGATTAGGGCTGATCGTGAAATATGTCGATCGCCGTGGAAACGGCTTTGGGGACTCGCTCAACTCGCTGTTTCACAATTGTGGAAACTAGAAAAGGGAGAAACTGCAAGAGTGATGTTGGCGAAACGCACGTGTACTTTTCACTGTGGACTCGAGCCGCTTGTATCATTGAGACGACGATGACGGTATATAGGATGTAAGGAGCCGAGGATTTTAGCTACGTATTCTAAACGTAAGACGCGTAAATATGGGATATTAAGTAATAGAATTTATCGTTAAACACTTGCAAGCTATCAACTATAATAATAACGATTAAACTAAGGGGTAGTCAAGTCGAAAGGAGGACACTTATCGTTAAGGGAATTAAAAAAAAAAAAAAAAAAAAAACATTAATAAAATGATAACTATAATGATTATTACGATTCTTACTATAAACTACCGAGTTTTTCGAGATAATGACGTGATAATGATTCAGAAAGAGAAAAATAAATGTGAAATGATGATAAATAATGTGTCGAGCAAGACGACATAAACTCGATTAATATAGATTAAAAATAAGCATTGAGAAACGATTCCTCGACTATTTAGATGAATATTTAGCGTAAAGAAAGTGATGGAGAAAAAAAAAGCGTGCACGTATATATTATATAGTATAATATACATACGAACAATGATGTTAACGTGTGCGCACACGCGTGTCAAAGACGTGATCGAACGCTAGGGGCGCCAATAGATTTTTTTTTTTTTTTCTTTCGTAGCACTTAAGGCATGGAAACGTGAACGCGCCCCTCGCTTTACTTGTAATTGCTTCGAGTATAAAGTTGTGTGATTGCTTTTTAAGAATTAACAAAGTAACATTCGTAATTATTAATGATAATGCAAAAACACGACTAGGATTAAAGTAAGGAATACATAAAAAAAAAAAAAAAAGAAAATTAAAAACTAAAACCATACGATAACGTCGATGAGTATACAATATGCGAAAATTCAACGTGTACATGCGGCATAACGATCAAATATTTCGTGCGTATAACAGAAGAGAAAAAAAAAATAAATTGTGAGTGCGTGCCGTGGATTTAAAAAGGAAAAAAAAATCCGATAGGAACGCAGTAAGGGTGTGCTATAGGTGTAGATGTGTGTTTGAGACATTTTGACGAAGAGAGAGAGACTACAACTATACGTTTTTAAAAGAATAATTAACGAATAATTAACGCTAATGATTAAAATAAAAATGGAAAAAAATGATAAAAAAAGAAAAAAATGAAAAAAAAAACAATTGATAAACAAATAAAAGCTGCACGAATCACACGTGCACGTTACGCCAACTGATTGTTGACATCGCGTGAACAAATTTTCCTGTGTGATAATCTCATTAACGCGTAGCGTGTCTATAAGCCTATATAGGAGAGAAAGGAATGACGAGTGAATGATAATAATAATACTTAATAATGAAAAAACACAGAGAGAAAGAGTCGGATGTGGTTAATGACGCGGCATTTTCGAGTCATGCATGTATATTTATTTAGAGGAAGAAAAAAAAATCGGATCCAAGAGGTTGTGCGACCACTTCGTCTTCTCGATCATTTGGAGATTGTCGCGTATCGATATAAATTTACAGACGCGAGGAGCTCGAGAATCCGTCGACTACTCCGGTTCTCGCTTCTCCCACACCCCTATTTTCGTGCCATAGTACTTGATACTACGTGGCAAAAAGGAGCTCAATTATTCGACCCCAACGAGCCGAGCTTTCATTTACAGTGAACGTCGAGCGGGCAGTCGATGCTACTTATACACTCCTGCCGCGAGCGACTTTAAATATACGTGTACATATATATTTATATCGATTCCCTTGTTTACAGGATGCCTTACCGGGAGGCTGTCGATACTCCAGCTCCCGGACAACATTCACAATATAGCACACATATTTTTCAGTACAAAAGCTCGAGTCGTTGAGCTCCTATGGGTCGCGTAGTGGATTCTTTTTCTTTTCCATGTATACAGTACACACGAATGTCGCTGCGCGCAACCTCTTGAATTTCGCGTAGAGCTGTTTTATTATTTCGTTGTCGTGGAATACTATTGTTTTTTGAAAAATGTAAGTATATCCCCCGC